CTATCATGATCCCAATTCTACCTTACAAATCTGGCTAGATCAGAGCAGGTACACTGGTACAGATAAGAGCTGGAAACACAGGGAATCCAGACAGATAAACCCCTCAGGACCAATAATGAGAGTAGTGATACCAGGAGGATAAGAGGAAGGTCGGGGAGAAAGGGGGAACCGATCACAATGATCTACACATAACTCCCTCCCTGGGGGACAGACAACAGGAAAGTGGGTGAAGGGAGACATCCGACAGTATAATACATGACAAAATAAGAATAATTTATAAGTTATTAAGGGTCTGTGAGCAAGGGAGGGTGGGGGAGGAAGGGGAAAAAATGAGCTGATATCAAGGGCTCAAGTAGAAAGAAATTGTTTTGAGAATGATGATGGCAACAGATGTACAAATGTGCTTGACACAATGGATGTATATATGGATTGTGATAAGAGCTATATGAGCCCCCAATAAAATTATTTTTTTTTAAAGAGTTACTTCAAGGGCATGGCCTGCATCCAACATATATGAATGTTCTGGCAAAACGCTAGCTTTTTTTTTCACACTGATTGGTTCTACTTTTGGCTTGTTATTGTTTAACCTCTGGTTCTTGGCACTTGAGCCAGTAGCCTGCCATACTGCCCGCTGATTTTGGATTTGTCAATTTCTACAGCCCTTGAGCCAGCAGCATACCATCTGACTGGTCAGTTACAAGAGTCTAACCTGATGAGAAGTAGCTAACCTGATGGCTGATCCACAGTCTTATAAACCATTTCCTTGAATCTCTCTCTCTACATACCTGTGAAGGGGCCTCAAGAAGTTCATGGGAAAATGTAATTTAAACATAATGGAGTATTTTTTCATGAAATTTTGAAGCCTCTTCATACATATATAAGCTTCACTAGTTTTATACTTCTGTAGCAAACTTGGCCTAAGAGATTTATCATAAAGAGTGACAAATAAAATTTAAAGATGAGTTTTCTAAGTTGGTTCTCAATTCTGACTTAAAGGCACTGTTAATCCATGGCATATCACCACCAGTAGATCAAAGTAATGGTGAGAAGCAAAGCTCTGGGTGAAGACATATTTCATATTTCAAACAGTTTTCTTAGATTGAGAAGTAGAGGGACGCTAATAGGTTGGTCTTATTTTTGCTAGACAAAGTCGTAAAAGAAAGAGAGGAACTGATGACTTAGGAATCACAGCCTGAGTACCACATAAAAAATTTTAAAGTTGCAACTTGTTCCCTGAAAGAAAGCCTTATTTTTTGCTTTTTGGCTTGTCATCGTCTAATATTGATGAAAACCTAGTGCCGTGTGTAAATGTATGACTGGCTGAATTATCCAGTTGATTTCCCAACCCGGAGCAGTGTTTGAAGTTAAAGTGAAGGCATTGATTGGGAAGAAATGGAATCCTAAAATATAGGATGGGGACATATGGTGGTATAATAAAGAAGCTGAGAATGTTAAACTAATAAATTCTGTTAGATCATTCCTGCCCGAAGAACCAAATCTCTTATCCCCATCTGATGAAATTGACCCAGCTGTGCCCAGTGAGTGTGGAGATACTGCTTAGTGTGGCACCTGGGTTTTTGTCTGAGACAGATGCTTTATAAGATACTGCTGTAAGATACTCAAGACAGATTTTCTGCACCATGCTGCTTTACTTCTAACCTATAACTAGACCTAAAGTCCCTGCAAGTTCCAAAAAGTAAAGTACAAAGTGGAATCCAGGAAGAAGTATGCTATATTCCAAAACTGCTGCTTGATTTTTCTTCAGTGCACAAACAAAAACCTGAACAATGTATGTGGAAATGGTGACTACTAATGTGAGTTAATGATATAAGGATCATAAAGTTGGACTAGCATGCGTTTATGGACATGGACTGACTAAGCACAGATGCTTCATTCACTGTTTCAGTTTGAAATTTTAGGAAAGGATCT